ACTTAAAAAGCAAGACAGAATTCCAATGGTTTTAGTCTTTTGTTTTCCATGGAAGGCTCACTGGGAAGTATTCAGTTTTTCATTGTTATCATCACGAAGATGTTTGACCCACACAGTCCTTTTGTTCGTTCTGCAGGTCTTAACCATCTGTCATGTTTTCTGGAGAGCCTCATAAACACATTTAGGTTAAACCATATGGTCATAAAAGCTGTCACTGTATTATAATCAAGGTCTGGTTGGGGTTTTTCCTTGTTTGTTTGTTTGTTTGAACAGAAATGCACTTGATCATTCTTATTTCTTTAAAAGCTTCATCCTAATCCTGGAACCAAACCTCAGTCTGATAATAAACCAGGTCTGAGTCTGCATCTACTTCAAGTAAACTACCTGAGTAATAGATGTTTTGAAATGGCCACATTTCCCCATCAATTTTACTCAAATACTATGTTAAACTTTGGGCCATTTGTTATGTTAGCCTCCTCAGTTTTTACTTCCTCACCTCCAATGCTTTTTCCTTCAATCATCCTCAACCACCCACTCCTTGGCTTTGTCAACATCAGAAGTGTCTCTCCTCTGAGAGCTCGACCTCAGGCACCCCAGGTTTGGCTTATCAGCTCTGATGCCGCAACTCAGTGGTTCTTCCATCTTGCCAAGACCTTCAGTTCAGTAACTATACCACTTTTTCACTCTCCGTCACCTCCCTCATGTCTTCAGTTCCTTACTTACCCAGTTTAGAATCCATAATCTATATAATCTTGTCTGTTGAAAGCACCACGTAGTTCCATAGCTCCCCTTGGACTTACCTGGCAAAGCTCTATCCCTGTTTAAATCCCACTGTCTACTTACTCTATGCCTGTGCCCAAACATCTGATGAAAAAGCCCACCAGGATGACTGGCATCATTTAAATTAATGGTCATAAACCTCAGATGTACTAAGTCTTACTCAGCAACCCTCCTTTGCTGCTCTAAAATGTTCCTTCCAAAATTACTGTCCCATCATTTCTCAAACCTTCCTCTTGCTCTCTCGCAGACACTCCCTCAGCAGCAACATGATAAAACATCTCCTGTCTTAAAAAACACATACCCTCTCTGGTCTCCATAGTGTCCTTCAGCTATTGCCTTTTCTTTTCCCCCTCAGCTTCTCTGCTTTTTTTCTCTCCTCAATCTGTCCTCTGGATTGTTGCCCCCACCACTCTGATGCATCTGCTCTTGCAAAGGTCACTAATAAATTTTGTGTAGCTAAATCCAATGCCACTCTGTCATATCTTATTTGACCTCCCAGGAGCGATTAGGACAGCAGATACGACTGACACTCCTTTTTCCGTGACATTCTTTTCCAGGTTTCAGAGATACCTTGTTCCCTTACATTCCCTCCTTCCTCACTGGCCACTCCTTCTTGATAGTCTCTGCTAGGTCCTCTCCTCTTCCCGACCTCTAAATGTTGGTGTGTCCGTGATTCAGCACTCTTCCCTCTATTACTCCCAAGGCAATATCCCATGGTCATCTATAATTTCATATGACCTCAACCCCAGCTTCTCTGCCAAACTCTAGATTGTTTACTTGACATCAAACCATCAGCAAGTTCAGCTGACACTACTTTCAAAAATACCCCAAGATTGCCACATTCTCTCCATTTCTCTTGTTGCCACCCCAATCCAAGCCATCGTGTTTACTTGTCGATACCATTGCAATGGCCACTGAACGGGTCAGTAGGATTCCTCCCTTACCTCCCTACCGCAGCCAGAGTGATCTCTTAAAAATGAAATGGGACCACAGCCCTTTTTCTGCTTAAAATTTCTCTGGTGGATTTTTATCACGTTCAGAATAAAATAGAAACTACTTCTTCTGGCTCATAAAATCTAATAAGATCTGGCCTCAGATTGCTCTTGATCTTATCTCCTGCCACCCTCCCCTCCACGTCTCCAGCCATACGGGCCCCATTTCTGTCCTGGAATATGCCAAGCTCATTTCTGCCTTTGGGTGTTGGCACTGACTGTTCCCTTTCCTCTGATCTTTACATGGTTGGCAACTTCTTGTCATTAAGATCTGAGCTTAGATTTTGTAATTCTTAGCAAACACAACTATAAGAAAGATGAGTTATTCAAGTTCTCAAACCTGCTGTGTGCTTTCAAATGAATATAAACATGGGTAAGTTTTGTGTACTCTAAGGTACTGCTTCAACATTTTTACTTTTGAAAATTATAAAATTCTTCTAGAATTTAAGTTTACTTCATTAAACTGTCACTTATCTGTGTGGCAGTAGCCACAAAGGCAAAAAAATAGAATCCTAGAAATTGTGTCTACCAGTGCCCAGGGAACCACGTGAGACAATAATGCTTTGTTGCCAGATCTTGCTATGTGACTGTGGGCCAAGTGCCCCATCTTTGTGAACAGGGTCCGCCCTCCCCCCCCCCGAAGTAGACACAATCATCCCCTGGTAAGACAAGGAATGTACATCTGTATATGTGCATTTGTGTGTTTAATAACAAAAGAATTAAATCTTTGTCTCAAATCTGTGCAGTAGCTTTCCCTTTTCCACTCACCTGCGTGTGATCTTTTCTGTAAAAACAAACAATCAGGGACCGTTCTTGGTCATTGCTTCTGAAATTCTTTTTAAGCTTAGAGCCTGTTTATGCAATTCCTGTGAAAATAGATGTAAAAATATGGCTAGCTTCACAAATAATTAACTGATGGAAAAATGATTCAGAAACAAGAGGTGAGGAGGCAGATGAGCAGTGAGATGGGGGCGCATGGGCATTGAGGGTAGGGTAGTCCTACGCTGGCCTTGGTGGGACATCGGGTATCACTGGCCTAGTAAATGCTAGTACAGTAAATGCTGGTAGCAAACCCTCCCACCCACCAGTCACTGGGCCAGTTGCAAAGGCTTATGTTTCCAATCACCCCCTGGAGTGCTCGAAAATTAATGAATGGCACAGCCATTATCTTTGCTGCTTTGTATTTTACAGCAAATGTATCTTTAGCATGAAATTTGCTAGAGACAATTCACTTAGCACTTTTACTTACAATATTTTTATGTTATGTTAATAGCCTTTTAGCTTAATGCCTTTGTGCCTTGCAAGCTGATTCTGGAACACATGAAGTGTGTTAAGTGAGGGATAGTCGTATGGGGATCTAAACCTACTGAATGGAATTAGAAGGATCCTTTGAAAAGCAGTTCGGAGACAATGTACCCACACCAATGTTCAACAACAGAACTACTGCACTGGAGGCCATTATCCTCTTTCTGCTTGCGAGAGCACAAGCGAAATGAGGGGATCCCTACGTTTTTCTTGAATTTAGGAAGTACAGTAAACAAAAAGATAAAGTAAACAATTTCCTTAGCAAGGAAAGAAGCAAGCAAGAAGTTATCCCAGGAGGATGCTATACTCTGGAAGGACACTGTGATAGATCTGGTGTGGTAAACTGCTTCCCAAATAGTTCCCAGTGACTCCTGCCTCCTGGTCGTCACAGCCTTTGGTAAGAACCGTTCCCTTGAATATGGAACAAATCTAGTGACTTGCTTCTTATGAATAAAATATGGGAAAAATGATGGAATGACACTTCAGTATTCAGTTTAAAAGCTGTCACGTCTGTCTTGCACTTTCTCTTTCTGGCTTTTCTTAGCTTGCTAGCTCTCATGAGGTAAGCTGCCATGTTGTGAGCTGCCCTTTTTTGGAATGGCCCATTTGGCATGGAAGTGAAAGCAGCTAACAGCCCAAGGAACTAGAGCCCTCAGTCCAACAACCCATGAAGAATCTGCCAACAACCACACGAGTGAGCTTAGAAACGGATCTTTCCCTGGCTTAACACCAGGATTACAGCCCATGAGGGACCCTGTGGCAGAAGGCCCAACTCAACCATGCCTGGACTCCAGACTCTCAGAAACTGTGAGATAATAAACATTTGTTGTTTTAAGCCACTAAGTTTGGGGGTAATTTGTTACACGATGTTAGTGTAGCCACTCAGCTCTAAACTACCGGAAGCATCCACCTGTGGTATGATTCATGCTTTACAGTCTTCAAGAATGAAAAGCACTCACATCTGTATATTTGAATAAGGAGTGAGATATTGCAAAGTGCAAAACCTCTCTGAACATCTCTAGCAGGAAAAAACCCCAACAACCGCAAAACATTATTGCCAGGATGGCATAAAAGAAAGAACATATAGGCACAGGTTGTGCATTGAGATTGTCATTATACACATTTGAGCAAATTATATAATTTCTCTGGGATTCTGTCACTTCATGAAGAAGATGGTGATGGGGTTGGCTAGACTTAGCAAGAACTGCTAGCATTCTACGACACTGTGCTTTGAGGAACTCTGGAGGGCCCCACCCCGAAAGCTGGAAAGAGTGTCACTGGGAATTTGTTCCTTAATGCTTCCGGGGACTGTCCCTGAAATTATTACTTAAGGGGAGAAATTAGGAAGGGTGAGACAGGAAATTCTACAGATACGTGTAAGAATAGCGCAGAGAGGTGGGGCCTTGCATTGTTATGAAGCAGTTGCAGGGTCTTGGTGGCAGCCACAAAAAGAAGTGTGGTTGATTCCACCATTTTGAGGACCTGGTGGGCTTCCTCCTTTCTGATATACGTGATCTCCACAATAGGCCACATCCCCCCTCTCACTGTGATTACAAGGGAGCTGAAGCAAACTCACGTTCAGTCATAGCCACTCTATTAAATGTTATGGTTCCCATATTTGTATTCTTTTCCCTGTCCTCATTTTTCTACTTCTAGTTTATCATGTGCCCTCTGTTGCAGGCCAGCTCAAATCCTTTCCAGAAAAAATTGGAGGCATTAATAAGTACAACATACACAAACATACATGTTTGACTTACCCCCTTCCCAATTGTGATGTTACAAACAGAAAGAGCAAATCTGGAAATATTCTTCTATCTTGAGTATTAATGTAAGGTCAATTTGACTTTGGTGGGGACAAAGATTTAAATGAGCAGAATAACCGGTAAAATAGCATAAATCAGAAAAATTAAAGACAAACACAAATTGCAACAATATTTGTACCGTTTTTATTTGTAAAAATAACCATCTGAATGCATTTCCATAGTATATTACAGTTAAGTACTTCATTACATTATTAGCATTCAGTAGTTGAAAAAGTATTAAACTGTGCTTGAAAAGATTCAGATTGGTTCAAAGTCATTCACTGAACTGAAAGTCATTTTTCTCATTTTTACAGTCATGACATTTACCAGAGTCATTCAACTCCAATTTACATAAGAAAACATTACAGACAAAATCCCACTGAAAGCATCAAACAGTATTTTAGCTGTTACAAATATGTTATGCAAAATATAACACTGGCACCAGATTTGTATCATCGTGCTTTGCAAAGATATATTGCACATGCTAAAGCATAAAATATGTAGACAAAACTACCAAACAAAAGGTATTTGCATTGAATTTTTAGATCACTGCATAAGAAACGCATAGAATTACATTTTTACACACACTCAGATTGTCACTATCTTAAAACGCTTTTCCCCTATAACACTGAGCTATGGTTTACAGTTTTGTAAGAAGAAAGCATTTTAGCACTGCAAAATTAAACATAATTCCTATAGAAAACTTCAGCATTTTCATTTTCATTTCAAAGCAGGTAAAGGGGAAATAGGAAAAAAAGACACTTTATACATTCAAAGAAAGGCTGAAATGAAAACTCACTGGTATTATATTGCTCTGATAACACTCAAATGAAAAAAATACAAAACATTTCACAGAACATCTTCAGAATATACAAATATAAAAAGGCACTCTAACTTCATATTACAAGACAAAAAAAGGGATGAGTTCTTCAACCAACGCAACAGATAAGCAAACCAGGTTGCTCAACAGTACAAAGAATAGTGCAGCAAATCCATTTGATGTTCTTTCTCTAATTTCATAATAAAATAAAAAAAAAAATCAAGCAGCTGTTTACTGCCTAAAGTACCAAAACATACTATGGTGCCCTTGTAGTAGTGATAAATAGAAATCCCCTGAGCTTTTTACTGTAGAATCAGAGCAGATTTTAGGCAATTTGGAGATAGTAATGTATTTACCAAGGATAGGCAGACACGGCGAATAGGTAAGTGTGATGAAACATGATCCCTGTGGCTATGGTTAAAATACAGTCTAAAAATAACACAGTTAGGTAAAAGCACTAAACAATCAAGACTCAGTTAAAAGCACAATATTTTTTGTTTGTTGTTTGTTTTTTTGCTTAGAAAGCTACATTGCAAATCTAGTTCTATTTCTAAGAGATGTACTTAAAACACACAGAACTCATAGTTTTTGAAGTCATTTCCTAAAGAAAAAAATTTGGTCTTGGGGAATGGAGAAACAGCGAGAGGGTGGGAGAGAGATTTGATTCCATGAACAATTCACAGCGAGTGTGATTTCATTTTGTTCCTTTGTCCTCCTTCTTTCCATCAGGTAGACAGTGGGGGAAAGTCAAAATGCAGCTACGTGGAGAGAAATGTCCCATGGCCGGCACTGCTTTGCTGTCACCTTCCTTGTTCTCTGTGCTACTCTACAGGAAAAATGTGAACGCTGCTTCACCATTACAAGCGGGCATTTCATTTCCTGCTTTACACGCCAATGGAGCAAGATTTCCATTCACTTCTAGAAAAAGACACCACAGTATATCGTGCTTTTTTAGCATTGGATCTCCCTTGCTTTTCAGTGTTTTGGTAAAGATAAGGTCGTTATTGCTCATTAGCAATTTATCTACTTTTAAAAAATTCATCTTCTCCAAATAAACAAAAAGGACAGAGGAAGGAAGGGGAACACAACACCAAGAATTTAAAAAAGTGTCGAAAATTTCCGGTGAAATTATTACCAATTCTGTAATTCCTTTGAACAAGTTCTCATTTGTGAAGAACCCAACGTGAGTTTTTAATTAAATCAGGCTATTAAAAGAGTAAGATTAAAGTCTTTTACAGTTAGATGAAAAATATAATACAGCATGTGTATTTGATCCAGATATGATAGAATACTGTTTTAAAAATATCTCACATACACTGTAAAATAGAAATTTCCAGGGTCGAAAATGTAGCTGATTATAAAATGCCGGAGTCCTGACAACATGTTTCTCTCCTGTTTCTTCCTCAAGTGGAAAACAGCACTTGAGCTGGTGATTTCTATTTCCTTTCCTGGTACATGTGCTCACACACTGACATGATTTCCCACTCGGTTACTGGGACCATGAGGTTTTCAGTGCGTTCAGAGTAATTTCTGTAATTTCTGTAAATTTCTTTGGGCCACCTTTGTGCATATGACCCACCACATACCTCAGTTCTCATCTTGCAGAACAGCATAAGGACAGCAGTGTCCCCTAAGCTCTCCAGGCTGGCTACAGACCGGGGCTGAGTAAGGGATGTTGTACCCCTCTCCAAGCGACGTGGAAGAACCTGAGGGTCAGCTGGAAACCTTAGCAGTGGAAATGCTGGGCTTGGCCCCAGGACGGCCAGCTAGCCCGGTGAGGGGCCTGCGTGCTTTTCTGCTTTTGTGTTATTCCAAGTAAGACACACAGCACTTAAAACAGAGAACAAACAATGGATGTTTCCTCGGCCTTTGTTTCATTTCAAATAAATACAAACACATTTACATCAAAAGTATATGAACATTTTCTCTAGTTTGGCAACAAAATAAGTCTTGGTCAACACGTCATGTTACAAATGTTATGCCATCAACTAGAAATCTGTGTCATAAGAAATATAAAACACAACAAAGACTGTTGCACAAAAAGATTACATTTTAACTCCATAGAAAAGCTACTTCAGTTCTCACTTCCATTTTGAAGGAAAGCAATTTAAATTCTTCCATTCTAGACTGAAGCATTTTGGTCCTCGTGTATAGCTGGTTGATGAACTACAGACATATATATATATATACACACACACACACACGTGTGTGCGTATGTATGTGCATAATGTTTAAAGAGTCTCATTCTTCTTTTTGTACAGCTATTCCAGGTGCAGAACGGGGTCCATTTGACCTAGAAGCTTTGGCAGAGGGAGTAGACACAGTATTCACTAAGTTGAGTTGATCATCAAGCGACTATCAATTGGCTTTAATTTCCACATCACCCATTTCTACCTTCTGCTTTGCACCTTGTTTCCTTTTGTCATCACACTTCCACTCACTTGGCATGACCTTGACTGAGAAGCTCATTCAACACTTTACTACTGATGAACAATGCTGCTGGTTCTGATGTTTTTAAAAAGTTAGCATTCTGATTTGAGGATGAATTAACAAATAAATAAATAAAGGTGGTCTCATATTAAATTTGCATATGTCTCAAAGTTCTGGTGCAATACAACTTTTCACCTGAAACATTATTAGATAGATTTGGATTCAATCAGCCAGGTGAAAAATTAGTCACAGGCTTGTTACAGGGAGTACTGGGGGCCGTATTTGTGTTAAATGAAAAAAAGCAACTTCAATTTTTAGTGAATTTTTCCATTCATCTGGCAACTTCCATAAAAATCCTTGGAAAGAAGTTCTGGATATTTAAGTGCTTACTATAGAGAGGATATGCATAATTGGACTCCCTTAAAAAGATTATTACAGGCATCATTTCTGAAGATGAACACCTTTACCTTTGGCTTTTAGTGAGGAAGTAAACATCAAAGTGAGAAGAGGTTTGAGTCAATTCCTATCCACCCTTTCCCTCCCCTCCCAGGGGACATGAATGTCACATTGATATACTTCTGAGAACTCACTGCTGAGTGAGTAAATGAAAAAAAAAAATTCTTTCTAGAGAACAGCTCCCTCTCAATTGCATCATGCCAAAAGAAAGAGTCAAATGCATTTTTTTACTTCTTACTTAAAATGAGAGGTAGACTTGCACAGAAGTATCTTAGATCTAAGGAAAACATGAAAACAAAAATCAGGGCCCATCTGTGTGAGTGCCTTGCCCTACAGTCTAGTTGCCCTCCCTGGGTTTGGTTAATTCCTTTTCTACTGGCTTCTGGAAGCCCAGGCCCATAATAATACTTGAACACAACATAAACCTGGAATTCACGTTTCTTTCCCTTCTTCCAATATAGGTGATCAAGGAAAAGCTTCTACAGTCCAAAGTCAAAACGTTTCGGAATCAGAGTCATTTTCATTGTACCCATCCTCTGAGCCTACGTTGTTACTGCATAGGCTAACCATGCTACCCAGATTGGAGAGGGTCGTCCTGCTCAAATTGTCTTTTTTAAAACAAACGAAGTTGACAGCCGTCATTGTACTGGAAGGAGAAAAAGGCATCATGGTAGCCAAAATGAGGGCCAGGCAGTCAGCCACGTCTTTGTTAGGAGCGCAAGCCAGGGCCGGGGTATGACCTGGGCGTAAATGCAGACAAGGCAGTGGTTAGTCCAGGAAATCCAAAGGCGGTGTGAGCATTCCACAGTACATCTCATACGACCTCACACGCGGAGATGTATGTTGAGTTAGAAATCATGCCAGGCAAAAACAGGAGTTACTTCCCACAAGTCATGCTAGGGGTCAGGCTAGAGGGAACTGGGAGGGGGAGACATTTTATGAAGGGGTTTGGTTTTGGTTTTTCAGTTTACATGACGACAAGCACTATGTTATCCGAAGTTAGGCAGAATTCTAGTCTTCATCTAATAAACAGAAACACAAGGGGGCAGGGGTGGGACACAATTCCACAAAACAAAAACAACCCAGCAACAGGACAACCACAAAGGTGTTTCCACTCGAGAGCACACGCACACCATGCGCCTCAGGCTTGGGCCAGAGCACTCTCATTCTGAGAACAATGACTTTCCATAGTAGGTAACTGTGTGTCAGATTAGAAAAGATATCGAAAATCAGATGTCTGTAAATGTGACTAACGCAGTTTTGTTGCTTTACATATGTTTATATAAAGTATATACCAATTAACTTGTTCTAGGAAAATGGAATCATTTGAGCAGATCGGACAGGAAAGCACTGATTGTTTGTGATTTAAAATTTACTATCATTTAAGAGAAATTTAACAGGATTTTTAAAAATAGCACACCAACCAACCAAAGTCCCAAAGCTCAACTATGACAGGTGTGGGAAAATGGCTGTAGAGTCCTGTCATTCTCTACCATTTAGACTCGATGGGGCCTATCCACAAGAGAAAACTGTCTTGACACATGAAACGTGTGCAGGGGGACATAGATACATTCTTCGACTTAATTACTACCCTTATCCAACCTTTATTCTACTGACCTGAAAGGGTTAGGCTAGCTCCTCTGCTGGGAAAGTTCCTACTACCTCTCACTCATTTATTCAGAGGAAGTGGCTCAATAAAACTCAACATTTTGTCAAGTTCTATCAACACTTGGCCTAGTTTCTGCCCCTCCCCCACCCCAACAGATCACTCCTCTCTCTAGTACAAAAACAAATAAGAATAGACAGGTATCTTAACATTCCATTCCACAGAGGTCATTGATGAGTAAAGGATTTATGCGTGTAGTGCTGTACAAAACTGCCCCAAATTGTTCCTAGGCTTTTGGGATACAGCTGAGCTCTCAGAAAGGCCTCAGTTCCACTGACCCAGGGCTCTCCTTCCCAGGGTTGCTGTTGGCAGGACAAGCCTCAGATGCAGCAGGCTTACAATGGAGAAAGACAAAACTAATTTATTTTGAGCTCTTTGGGTCATTTTGAAGAAAAATTGTGCACTTCTGCATGCCAACCCTAAGATACATAATAGCCATAAGAGGGTGAGGGAAGGAGAGGAGGTAACAGAGAACTTTCTGTGCCTCCCAGATGAGTCGGGTTGGGGACAGAGTGGGGTACATGCTATAGGATAAACGGGGCTGCAAAACAAAAACTAATAGGAATTAGCTAATGATGTCATATGGCTAATGCTTACTTCTGAGAAATAGGCATGGGCTGCTAGTTCCAATACCTGTAATAAGCAGTTAATTGAGTTATGTTAATGATAATACTTTAATTAAATGCCACAATTAATGCCACATTTAAAAAATTACATCATTCATAAATATCCAGAAGTTCATCTTTTGCTCCCCACAGTTAATAGGCACTGTGCTTAAAATGGTAGTTTCACACAATTCTGTTATTCATTAGCTTTCCAAATTTCTTCGGAAGCAGAGTAGAAAGCTTCTGTTGAGAGTTCATTTAGAAAAGGAAGGTTACATAGATCAGGAGAAGCTTTCAAGCCTAGAAAGTCATTAAAAAATTGTACTCATGTTCCCCAAATATCCATACTGAGAATATCAGTTTTGATCTCTTCTTAAAAAAAAAAAAAAAGGTTTGATCTCAGAATGAACTGAAATACAAAGACCTAGGTTTTCTTTGAGCCCTTGAGCATGCACTAATGACATGGGTAGTCTCTAACTCTTCAGCGAATGCAGTTCGAATTCTGAATGCCTGTCTGCCAACTTTTCAGTGCGTCTGAAGCAGCTGAGCCACCACGCTGCAGAGTTAGAGACTAGTTGCTGGCGGTACATGCGGAATGGAAGGCACTGGTGGGCTACAGGTGGACTACATGTTTTACAAAGACAGACAGGACAAATTATCCCCGTTTGATTTCTCACACACAGAAACTTCCAAGGGGGAGAGAATTCTTACTGCCTTTTTACTGAGGTCCTATCATTCTCATTTTCCTCTGGCTTCACAGCACAGGGGAGGTACCTGCGGTAATTGTCTAGTTTTTCCACTTACCATTTTCATCCACGGCGAGTACACAGGCCCCTTTGGCCAACAACTCCTCAACGACCACCTTCAAGCCATTTCGTGCAGCAACATGGAGGGGTCTGAAAGAAGACAACATTCAGCGTCAACCATGATACATATTTGTGTGAGGATGTGTCATTTTGGGAAGCTGCACTGCTAAAAGGAAGAAAATACTTAAGAATCCATAAGGAGTACATGAATATTTTTATATTCTTTTAATAAAAATATTTGTCGACCAGATCTTTTCCAGGTGCTAATGATCCAACTGTTCTTCCATGTTGGCCCAGATTTCTCTACAGATATGACAAATATTCTGCATCTCAAACAACCTCAGTGACAATAGACAGGAAGTGAGAAAAAGAACATAAGCTCCAGTGTGTTTTCTAGAAGGTTCTTTACCCCTTGCTTTCTATTCCAGCATTTTGAATCACTGTTTCACACAGTCCATCAACATGATTGGTGTTAATATCACCCATATATATTTGTCTCGAACCTCCTTGTTATTACTAAATGAACTAAATGATATTTTGTCGAATTTAGAATATCTTAAAGAACAATGTCAAACCCAGATATTCATTTCTGCTATATACTTCTTAAGAAACTTGATGGAAAAAAAATCCTAATATTCCTTTGTCCTTAAATGCATAGGTAATTTACTAAAATGTAAAACGAATCAGCTTTTAGGTCTTTCACACTGAGGATTACACTGAATTATATTAAAATATAATTAAGACAAACTGCTTAGAAACTCTTCAAATGTATTCTGGGAACGTGATTTATAAAACTGTCATTTTCCAGTAAGAATACATAATGTTAATATATTATATTACAAAATTGTATGACGGCATAACAAAATAAAGATTCTAACTAAAAATGGCTAGCTCGGTCAGCATTTGTAGGTATGTGACTATAAACTTTGTGAAGGAGAAGGCAGGTCTGTGTCTTTCACCACTGTATTCTTCAGTGCACAGCACACTCTTAGTATTGTTGAATAAATGAGTATGAATTTGGGTCCAAATCAAACTTTAGAAGTCACACTTACGTCTGCAGGGCATTATTTTTTGCATTAATAAGGCTCTCGTCTTGTATCTTGTCAAGTATTAACAAGGCACATTTTTCATGACCCTAATAAAGAAAAAAAATGATAAGTAACATGGGACAGAAACAGAGAAAAGCTCCTGAAAAATTACTTCATTGTGCTTTTAAATTTAAAATTAACGTCATCTGCCTAAAAACATTTTTTTAAATTTTTTAAAAGATTTTATTAATTTATTTGTCAGAGAGAGAGAGAGAGAAAGCACAACCAGGGGGAGCAGGAGATAGAGGAAGAAGCAGGCCCCCTGCTGAGCAAGGAGCCCGATGCGGGGCTCGATCCCAGGACTCTGGGATCATGACCTGAGCCAAAGGCAGATGCCTAACCGACTGAGCCACCCAGGTGTCCCTGCCTAAAAATATTTTTAAGGCAACTTTCTGAGTTAATTCTTTTTTCTTCTAAAAAGCAAATGGTTAAAGCACCCTAGACTCTCAAAGATTCTGGATAAGGTCCATTAGGACTTGATTAATGTAAACCTGATCTAAAATATTAATATTCCTAAGGTAACTGCAGCAGTATGTTGAGAAAGCTGAAGCAGGTGCTAGCTCAGCAAGGTCAGCTGGCTGAGAGTAGAATTAGGAGCATCCTTTAAATCCATCAACACTACTTTTTAACATATGTCAAGTTCCATCTCCTTCCTCAAGCCTTCAATGACCACTTCACTGATCCATCTACCCTTGAAATTTCCATTACATCTGTTATCAGTATCACTTATCACTATGTACTGCCTTACACTGGGAAGGGACTCTTTCAGGAAAGCTCATTCTTTTCGTCTTCAACCAGGGAAAGATATCCTTGTATCTTAAAAGAGATGGTTGATAATTAAAAAAAAAAAAAAAAAAATCAACTGAAAAGTCAGAGACCCTTTCACAATTTCAGGCCTATGCCCTGTTAAGGGGTCATGGTTTCCTAAACCCTTGCTACTCAAAGTGTGACCCACAGAACAGCAATGTCAGCTTAACCTGGGAGTTAGAAACATTGAATCTCAGGCCCCACTTCAGACCAGCAGTTTCACAAGAGCCTCTGGTGATTCATTTGCACAATAAAGTTTGAAGAGCACTGCACTTCTCTTCATGAAAACACCACACTTTGAAATAAACTTCATGAAACAGAGCCCTTTCTGGGGTTTCCATGGGCTTCCCAGAGCAAGAAGTGAGAAAGTGCAACCGCTGAAAGGAACAGTCAAAGCATCCAGTACCACAGACAACACCTTTAATACTGTCACCATGTTGAAATAAACCACCACTGGCGCTAACTGGAATCACCCTATAACGCCTTATAAGGGAGCCCCTAAAATGTAATTTCAGAAATGTCCATGGAGTTTTCATTCGCATGTACTGCTGGTGGAGTATAAACGGTTGTGATCTTATTAGAGGCCCATTTGGGCTTAAAAATGTTCATAGCTTTAGACTCAATAATTTTACATTTAGGAATTTATCTTAAAGGAATGAGCAAGAATTCTTTAAAAAAAATTCTCTACAATTAGCATCATCTATAGTAGCATATATTTGAAAACAAGCAAATGTCTAACAATTGGGGATGAGTAGAATGATGGCACATTCCTAAGGTAGAAAACCACATATCTTCTAAAACATGATCCAGGGGCGCCTGGGTGGCTCAGTTGTTAAGCATCTGCCTTCGGCTCAGATCATGATCCCAGGGTCCTGGGATCAAGCCCCGCATCAGGCTCCCTGCTCCGCGGGAAGCCTGCTTCTCCCTCTCCCACTCCCCTTGCTTGTGTTCCCTCTCTCACTGTGTCTCTCTCTGTAAAATAAATAAATAAAATAAAAAATCTAAAAAAATAAAACACGATACAATTTGATATCTAAAAGAAAGATATTCATGGGGGGCCTGGGTGACTCATTCGGTTAAGCATCAGACTCTTGATTTTTGGCTCTGGTCATGATCTCATGGGCTCATAGGACTGAGCTCCGGATCAGGCTCTGCACTCAGTGGGGAGTCTGCTTGAAGATTCTCTCCCTCTGCCCCTCCCCCCCACTCTCTCTCTCTCTAAAATAAACAAATCTTTAAAAAGATTCATAAGATATGATTCAGTAATAAAAGCAGGTTTTAAGGTTTTAAAACATTATGATCTCACTTTTGTAAAATTGTATATTTATTTATGTATCATTTATCTTTTACAGAAGCAGGAATCTTGAGCTACATGTGAACGTAATGCTATTAAAAAAACAAAAAACAAAAAACAAAAAACCTCGAACACATTCCTTGCATTGAACTATGCACCAGGAAAAAAAGGGCCAAGGGTAGATGTGTGAATGAACACACTTATTTGCCTCAAAGGAGAGTATTTTTGGGGCTATGTTATTACAATGTCTTCAAATGGAACAAAATGAAAACAAGTGGACCTGTTTATATTTTAGAAGTCACATAATTAAGGTCCTAAGCTGTGTTTAAAGCCAAGTTGATGTGGTACTGCACCCCCTAGAGACAGACTGCATAAGAATGCAGGTGGTAAATGCCATGAAAAGCATATCCTCACCAACCCCTACGTGGGTCTTGCCCTGTGCTTCTTCCCCTGCCATTCTGCTTACAGTTGACAACACCCTGGGAAAATGTACATCTTAATTAAGAGCCATGGTACACACTTCTGAGATAGCATGTAAGTGGTATGAGTATGATTACAACACTAAGTAACACTGTTTCAAGTTCATTTACATACTTTGCTACTAGCCAAATGTAAGGGTGTGTTCAAGTCTTTATCCTTTACAGTCAGATCAGCCTGGGCACTGTTCACCAAAACATCTATAGAAAAAGCCAAAAGAGAGTTACTTAGACGACAGGCTAACTACAATAACACATTCAAATTAGTATAATGACATCATCATATTTAATGTTTTTAAAGAAAAAAGGAAAAATTTATTGCCATATTGTTCTATTGAAATCCAAGGTCTATAGATGTTCATTTTAATCGTCTTTGTAGTTTTGTTATTTCCAGGTCAAATAACTCTGTTGCTTTATTCGGTCTCTAAATGTTGAGATTTTTCACTGCACAAAGATTGGTTCACTTTGACAAGGTCCACCAATCATCAAATAACAGGGGACTGAAGACAATTAGCAGTAGAATCAAGTGGCTTACATAAAATGTTGGCCTTTTTTACATGCATATACCAAGAGAATAACCGATTTCCCGGTTTTACGTTACTCCAGTTTGGGTTGGGCATGAGCGCGAAGCCCACCAGTCAAGCACATACCCACGGCACCCTCCTGCCCGTTCTCAGCAGCCATCATCAGCGCTGTTTTCCCTGAATTGTCTGCTGCGTTCACTTCAGCACTGTGTCTCAGAAGAAGCTGCAAGCACTCCACGTGATCAGCAAATGCTGCCGCGTGAAGGGGTGTCCTAATGATTTAAAACAAATAGGATTTTAGCTTCCTTTAAACGTAACACACTCTCTTTCTGTATATGCCTGAGAAATGTGGGCACAGCGTCATCTTAGGGATTTAAAACTTCTCAGTTTACAGAAATAACAATTAGGCCCTCTCTAAAGTCCATTTGGGGTGGACACTGAACAGTCACCTATGTGAATGGCACCCCCTAGATTTGGATGGTGTTTAAGTGGTGGCCCTGATAATAAAATTAGTATCTTTACTGACCCTTTGATGTTGAGTTCTAGTGACTTCTCTCCTTTGATAAAGATACTTTCAGAATTGGGGCACCTGGCTGGCTCAGTCAGTATAGCGCATGACTCTTGAACTCAGGGTTGTGAGTTCAAACCCCACACTGGGTGTAGAGATTACTTAAAAAAGATACTTTCAAAACTAAGCCTTAAATTTGTAGATAATTGGCTATTTAAATAAGAAAGCCCCCACTGTCTAGTATGGATAGTTGATTTTTCTAGGAGCACAATTTGTATTATTTATCAAAATTAAAAATTAAATCTAAAACTTCATCTCCCAGACATACTTGGTCATGTGAACAGACACATATACTAGACTGTTCACTGACCCACTCTTTGAAATAGTAAAATATTAGAAACAACCTAAATGTTCTTCAATAGAAAGCAGGCTGATTAAATGTCTATCCATTCAATGAAGTAATATCCAGCTTTAAAAAGAATATGGTAAATCTATATATTCTGGTATGAAAAGTTCTCCAGGATACACTAAAAGCAGAGGATTGCAATAGAATTCTCCCATTTGCATAAAAAGAACATAAGCATATATTTTCATATATGTTTGTAGCTAGGTACAGAAAATATTGGGGAGAATATAAAAATTTCAAAAGAATAGTTTAAGGTGGCTTTCTTGATGGAAGAAGCTGGGGCTTCTGGGCTAAGAGTAATTTCTCCTAATTATATACTTTTTATTATATTTAATTTTTAAAAGACATGCTTTTAGAGGTGCCTGGCTGGTTCGGTAGGTAGAGCATGTGACTCTTGATCTCAGGGTTGTGAGCTTGAGCCCCATGTTGGGTGTAGAGATTACTTAAACAAAATCACTTAAAAAAATAAAAATAAATTAAAAAAAATAAAAACCATGCTTTTATGTTACTTTTTCAATTAAAAAATAATAAATGTTTGGCTATTTGTAACTACAAAGCAGAGTTGAAGATTGATCAAGACATGAGGCATGCCATCTTAGGATCACTTACCTGCCTTTGTCATCTCTGCAATTGACAATACTGGAATCTATGGCCCCAAGTAGCAATGATGCACAATTCTCATGATCATTTATTCTAAAATGAAAACAGATTTTACATTTAAAAATTTTACATTTTTTAAAAATTATATATCCTTTCCTACTCCATCTTCCTATGTATGCACTGTATATTTAACAATCTGACACATTTAAAAATGTCTGATGCAAATATCTGTGGTTTATGTTCTGTTCAAATAATTCAAGAAAACAATTTAGGTCATACAAATAAACTTTACTTAACACTTCATGAGGCAGGCAGTCTTCACTCCCAAGAGTTTGAAAACTGCTCGCTTCACGAAGTGTTAAGAAGTAAAGTTTCTATCACCTAAACTGTCTTCTTCAATCATTTGAACAGTTTTGGTGATGAGGGTGGGATTCGAAGCTGACTACTCACAGCCTGCAGGAGACACAGAGACAAGGCACCTGCCGAACCCTCTGAGTTCACTCTTCCTCTTGTTGCCAAGGGCTAAGGTTGAGTCACTCTTGGATTTGAGGGCTGTTCTCTTGTGTGCGACTCTCTAAGCTGAACAAACTTTATCCAAAACTTTTTAAAGGAAAGGGGGTTATTAAAGTTCCCAGAAAGATTCTGTGATCCAGGAAAGGCTCTGGGACAGCTATAGTGGGAGTCCACAGCAGGTAGCAGCCGCTAAAAGACTAACAGGGACCTTGAAGTAAGTCCACAGCATAAACCACTGGGAGACTTGTGGAAATAAATTAAGACAAAAATACAGACTGTTTTGACCAATGGCACATTAACATCTACATAGGCAGAACTGGACTATTAAAAGCCATTAGGGCATCCACCATTGTACAGAAAGCTTGTGGAGAGTAACAGATCTATTGTTAATGAGAATCTCAGAAACCAAAACCACAAAATTGATGGGCATGGGTTGAGCACTCAAAAGCCGCTAGAGTACTCATCACATAAATCTAAGACTCTCGTAATAGGATAAGATGGTTATGGAACAGGTTAGATTGACACTAGGTCACCCACCAACCTCAAGAAAATTTCCATGCAACAAGGTACACTGTAAAACACCACACAAATCCCAAACCCAGTGGAACATCTTTCTTAGGTATTAATTTGGCTCCAAGAGACTCAAGGCTTAGCTAAAGAAATGAGATCCTCAAGTTTCAGAGAATTGAGCACTCTGCCTTCCAGCACAGTTGCTTATTTTCTGTCTACAAACTGTGATCCTAGATGCTATAGATATCCACAAAAATGGCAAAATATTACTTAGACAACCCAGAATTACAATGGCCAGCATGGGGAATGTTCCATTTAGATAAGATCGTTCATTTAAGAAGTACACTTGAAAGCAAGGGTTCCCAAATCAACAAACAGAATGGGATACCTATTTTAACTGGTATGCAGAAGCTTCCAAAAAGCTTGAGATTCCAAAAGGGCTTCACTGAAAGATTCATTGCCAAGGTTAATGAAAAATTAAAGACACAAGAGGTACCTAAAACTAAGACTGTAAGACTGATATGACTCCTACTACTGCCCTCTATCCTCCTTTACCTGAGTACTCAGAATCTATTAATCCTCTAGCTGGATTGCCTTTCCACCGTGAAGGGGCTACAGGATCAGAAACAAGTCTTCAAAGTTAGTGGCCTTATTGCAGCAACTGCTCCAAGGCCAGAAACCCAAAACAACACCTGGGCCTCCCCCACCGCACCATCATCAAAACACTGGCTCAGAAATCGGTGTCTCATTTGCAATCCATCAGGACACTGGAAAAAAGACTGTCCTAGAAGGTTTTGTGCAAATCCTCTGATAGCAGATCAAATACCCCCATATATATCCTCAAAGGAGGGCCCCTATACGGGCCCCTTCCAGTGTTGACGAGACACCAAAGGATTCTCCAATAAACTGCTACCAGTTATTCTAACAGTTAAGAGGAAGTAAAATTAAAATTAATGGAAAAATATTGCCAAATTCTGGTAGATCCAGGGCAATGCTCTCTACTTTAAACTCCATTCACTCCAAAGCCTGCAGATGGGACCTGGTAAAACCAGCATGAGCAGGCAAAGGGTGAAAATTCTTACTAGATTCACCTTTCCTGGTCTCTGTGGTGGCCGATCAAGGGGGAAAGGTATAATTTCATGTTGTCCCTTCCTTTCCAAATTCAAACTCTTGTGAATTTGGTTTTGAAGTACCCACTGGTTACTGATCCTCTTCTCTCCCGGGGACTGCTATTGCCCTCTTGTTCGTCCTAAATCCTTCTTTATTTTGGCTATCTTTGGGAGGTAGCTCTGGATCTTGGGAAAGTAGTATCTTCTGCACCATCTTTTGGGGCATCATCTTGCATTCATGGGTTGTTCAATATTGCCAGGAATAGCTACTGTTTGTCCTGGTTGAAACTTGACAAGATATTTGAAAGCCTTTTTTTTTTCTTTTTTAAAAGTAGCTTTATGGTTGGTCAAAAGTTGGCTAAATAGGAAGCTGATATTCAGAACCTAATAATAACTTTCTTTAGGCCTTCCCAGTAAGCTAAAATGAAACTATGTACCTGGGGTGAGGGAATGGGGTGGGGGCATTCCAAAGACAAACAGTTCTAAATCTAGAATAAAGGAATAATTTGATTTCTACCTTAGCTGGAGGAAGATCTCCTTGATATAAAGAAGCAAATTAAAGATAATGTAGTTGGATGAGTGGGACAGCCCCCCTTTTTTAAGGAATTAAAATCAACTCTCCTTGCCTTACAAATTGAGTTTTTATTTTTTATTCAGTTTTCTTAAAAGATTTTATTTATTTATTTGACAGAGAGAGAGAGAGCACAAGCAGGGGGAGCGGCAGGCAGAGGAAGAGCAGGCTCCCCACTGAGCAGGGAGCCTGATGTGAGGGATCATGACCTGAGCCACCCAAGGTAGACGCTTAACGACTGAGTCACCCAGGCATCCCACAAATTGAGTTTTTAAAGAACGGAAAAAGCTTGCCTATCCTTTTTACCAACCCCCAAACCTCTCTTACTCATCTGAAAAGGCTTGTAGGTATTGTCAAATTCTTCTTGGAGGATTTTGCATTCTTTCCCTATGCCTTTGAGATGTACCTGGTCTTCTCCAGGAACTAGTATCTAGGCCATTTCTTTGAAATGCCCATTTCAGGGAGATAATTCTTATCAGAGAAAAAAAAAAAGAATGGCTATTTGGAAACTAGGGAAATAAAAATTCTTAAGTCTCTGATGTGTGGAATTGTTGAATCTCTGTATTGTACACCTGAAATGAATATAACACTGTATGTTAACTAACTGGAATATAAATAAAAACTTTAAAAAAACCTATATATTAACTATACTGGAATTTAAAAAAATTTGAAAATCTGAAGTTTTCTCAATTTTAGTAAAAAGTTTAAGCCATCTGGGCAGGTAACCTTAACTTATTCCATTTGCCAGAAACACAATCTGGATCTGTGGTTGTTGTGGTTGTTGTTGTTGTTTAATAAACTAGTGAGTTTTGCATTATCATACCTGTTTAAATGCTAAAATTTAAAAACAGAAGTTACTAAGATTTCTGTTCGTGTCCATCTATATGTGTATGTATGTCTATGTACGTACATTATGTTTTTTTCTATCTCCAGATGGTATTGCCAAAATTAATTTGTAAAGAGCTCTATTTAATTGGCTTAATGAACATTAAGCACTTGGGGCACCTGGGTGGCTCAGTCAGTTAAGCGTCCAACTCCTGGTTTCGGCTCAGGTCATGATCTCAGGGTTGTGAGACTAAGCCCCTGTGTGGGCCTACTTAAGATTCTCTTTTTCCCTCTCTCTGTGCCCCTCCCCAGTAAATAAAAATAAAATAATATATAATAAAAAGAACATAAGCATTTATACAAGCCAAGTATATTCTCAGAAATATAGAAACTAACCCAAATGTTTTTCAGGTTCACATGATCTGGGTTTATCTTTGGTGAACAAGCACTAGTTTTAGGTTGGTCAGTTTAATTAAAACAGGCACGTCTTCAGAGTTATCAGCATTTATAATGCAGACATAAAACTTTTATTCTACCTAGGTTTACTAAAAATCAAATAAGCTCATGTTATCACTGTTACAGAATTTGTCAGCCAGAAAGATAATTTAAGATGATGGTTAGCTGTTTAATATCTCATGAAATTTTCATGAGTGATCTAAACATAATCATTAAGAATAAGTAAATTAAATAGATGTAAGTAAGATAAAAGTTTATAAGTAAACTTTTCAACAATAATTATGCTTTATGGTATGTATACTTAAAAATAGTTTCCAAAATGTTTTTGGTAACCTGAAACCTTAGTTAAACTGAGATACATTAAATGATGGATATTCATTGACTTCTAGATCATTTCCAATTAATATAAAACTCTGAAACATTATTACTGAACATAGATTTATCCACTTTTGGCTTCCTTTGACAGAGGAACTACAGATATTTGGCTCCATTTAGTAAACATGTTTGGTACCACATTGAAATATGTATTATAAGGAAGAATATACTCCTAGAAATTATGAAATTTATTTATGAATTTGCCAATCCACAGAATGCTAATGTAACTGACAATCCACTATTGCTTACTTCTTAGTTTCCAGTAGGAATTAAGGATTCTAGGGGTTAAGAATTTTAATCAATTAAAACTATTTAGAAATAATAAGGGTGGGGCACCTGGGTGGCTCAGTCATTAAGCATCTGCCTTCAGCTCAGGTCATGATCCCAGGGTCCTGGGATCGAGTCCCACATCGGGCTCCCTGCTCAGTGGGAAGCCTGCTTCTCCCTCTCCCGCTCCCCCTGCTTGTGTTCCCTCTCTCGCTCTCTTTCTGTCAAATAAATAAATAAAACCTTAAAAAAAAAAGAATAAGAGTGAAAGAAAATAACTCTTAGAAAAGTAGGTAATAAAAGTAGAATGTATTTTTTTTGATAAGGAAAGTTATGAAAGACATAATTTTTGTTTGTTTTTTTTTTAGTAAGAAAAAAGAGAAAGTAATTTTGTCCTAAAGTAAAATGACTGTTTTTTCTGGAATGAGAAAGAGAGGGAAAAATTAGGACAAAATCTGAATGGATATAAAAAGCTATAAAAGGTCTGTGGAAAAGGAATCTTGGAAAAGGAATTCTCTGTGGTCAAGCTGGCTAAGATTGGAATGGATTTACTTAAGCTTAAAAAAAATGAGTTTTAATATCAAAAGTACACTAGTGCAAAATTAGAATTTGGTTTTCTCTCTGTTAAAGGAACAAAGGGTTTTTTTCTTAGATTATTGATCTGCTCTTAATAAGAAACTGTAAGTAAAGGTTTTTTTTTTTTTATTTTTAACCTTTTAAGTAATTCTCCTGAAAAGCAGAGATTTTGTGTCTTACCAAAATAATTTACTGTGCTTTAGGCTATCTTTATCAAGTCTTTAATTACTTAAGAAAACCCAGTCTTGGGCGCCTGGGTGGCTCAGTTGGTTAAGCGACTGCCGTCGGCTCAGGTCATGATCCTGGAGTCCCGGGATCAAGTCCCACATCGGGCTCCCTGCTCAGCGGGGAGTCTGCTTCTCCCTCTGACCCTCTTCCCTCTCATGCTCTCTCTCTCTCATTTTCTCTCTCTCAAATAAATAAATAAAATCTTTAAAAAAAAAAAAAGAAAACCCAGTCTTCTTAGTATTAAAAGAGCTAAGGAAGTTTTTTGGTTTGTTTTTTAAGCCACTACTAACTTTCTGTATTTATCTTTACTAGCTATATCACTTTGGTTAAATGGATAACTAAGTACTGTTGCACAGTGACCTATGATCCTATTCGACTAAGTGTTTTAAAATCTTTTGATATTTTTGACAAATAAATAAATGCATAAGTTGGTCAACAGGCCAACTGGCTTAAAGAAGTATCCTCTCTTCGGGATTATTTCTTAACTTCTGTGAATCTAGTTGGTTTGGTTCATGGGGACCTGGTTCAGGAATGTCCTGTAAATCTTAGGAATACTTTTACTATTAATAATTGTCTTCCTGGTCTGTTGCTTCCTAGTCTGTTGTTCTCTCAAGGGTTTTATTTATTTATTTATTTATTTTTATTAACATGTATTATTTGTTTCAGGGGTACAAGTCGGTGATTCATCAGTCTTACACAATACACAGCGCTCACCATAAGGGTTTTAGATGTGTGTATGCAGCCATAAGCCAGCTAACAAATGGTCTCCCTCCAACTGGAATGAAAACCCGACATTATCTCCTGTGAAATAGAGACTGAGACCCAAAAAGACAATGGTAACTGAGAATAACTTGCAACATCACCTTTGTTCAAACCTCTTGGTTGGCCAGAGGTTGATCAAAGTGGGGAGGAAGAACTGCCAGACTGATCCCACATGAACCTTTACTTGGTAGGTCAGGCACCACTGATGCCAGGAAACAACATAGCAAAAAAAAACCCTTAACTTTTAGGTTTCATGTTATTGTAAATGTTCCATCTTCTCAGAGGTCAGACCATCTAGTTAACCAATTAATAATTACCAAGTTATATGGGTGACTGCCCCATTCCTATGATACCTCAAATAAGGCCAGATATGAAACCCTCACTAATCAGATATTTTTATTCCTTCTTTTTCCTGTTTCCTATTCTTTATTCTGTGAAAACTTCCCGCTTTCTGCCTCACTCTGCAGTTCTCTGAACTCTTGCAAGTGGACACTGTCTGCTTCATGAAGTGTAAAATAAAGTTCGTTTGGTTCTTTAATCACTGTGGATTAAATGCTGGAACCCCAGTATTTCTTCAGAACCCCTACATCCAGGAAGGAGTTTACTGTGCACCACTTATGCAAGGCGTCATGTTAGGTTTTGGGGGATACCAAAGTGACAAAGGCATGGTTCCTTCAGATTTAAAATCCCTCCTACACTTTATTTCTTACTCTTTGCTTATTCACCCACTATACGCCTCCAATATCTTTCAATCAAATGACCCAGTTGCATATAAAGCCCGTGGACAATGCAAAGACAAAGCAGGTCCCTGGTGGCCATGTTCCCCCAGGCTGACCATGGAAGTCTGCTTTCAAGTCACTGTATTATCTAAACAATGGTTCATCCTGTGAGATGGCAGCAAAAAGTATATTTATCAAAAAAGAACTTACAACATATGAAGAATGGAGAATTACAATATATAAAAAGTCTTCCTGCCATAAAATGTCTTTTCTAATCATCCATAGGCATATTGCTGTTAACCCCAACTTATTTTTAGAATTTGGTATACAAATGTGAGGTACATCTGTAGAGCTCTTCACCTGGGGTGTAACATGCCTCTTAGTCACCCATGACCCTTCATGTAGTTTCCCTCAGGTGACATGTGAGCCACCGTGGAACCTGGGCACTCCACAAAAAGCTCCTGGAAAATCATTAACACTAGGGACCACACTTTGCTATCAGGGCCATTTGCCATTAGCAGCAAAGTGGAATATGTTGGTCTTACCTATAGTCTAAAAGCCTGTCCCTTCCCAGAGAGGCAATCTCTCTGTATGTAGTTAAAAGGATTAAAGCAACACCATTAACTCCCAGCGTTTCTACTTACATTGCACAGTGCAGTGGAGTAAAGGGATTACCGATAAATTTGCGAAAACATTTTTGCTCCAAAAGTACCTCTATACAGTTTTCATTACCTGCAAGGAATCAAAAGAATTTAGAGAGTTTCCAAGAAAGAAATTTTGGTCAACACAATCTATTTTGTTGTTGTTGTTGTTGTTAAGTATTGAATTCTGACTTGTGAATTTTCCTGAATTGGCTGAATGTTCATTCTCCGTGGAATAAACAAAATGCCAGAATGTCATTAACTATGCTCACAGGTGTTTTGAGACATAGTGACAGTGAAGGCCTTATGCTCTAGAAGAGAGAAAGAGATAAAGAAGGGACCTCATTTGCAAGTGGAATAGATTCAATATCATCCTCAGTTCTCAAGAAATAGATGCCTGACATAGATATGCCTCAGTTTGCCCATGTTTACAACAGGTAATTCTCCTTTCACCCACATGAATAGGTTCACTTACAATTATGCAACCTAATTCAGGAAAGAAGATGTAACTGATAGAAAACAGTATTTGAGATAATGCAGATGAAAGGGCTTTGACTCTAAAATACTATGTAAGTGTTTAAAATGGCACCAAGGCCAGTTCCTGGCAAATAGCATGCACCCAATAAATATTTTCTTAATAAGTAGATGAATGAATGTGAGGAATTATTCTCAACGACATGACAATAGTTTCTAAATCAACTGAATTTGGGTTGAGTAAGGCCTCAGCTCTGTCATCTTGCTTGTTACATGACTTAGGCAACCCACTTGGGATCTGTGAGCCTCCGTTTCCCATATATAAAAAACCAGACTAGTAAAGCCTGCTCTACCTATGTCACAGGATGATGGAGTTTTCAGTTGATAAAGGACCTAAAAGTGGTTTGTAAGACAATGTGCATTTGTCAGAGCAAGAAGGCAATGCTATTTGGCTTTGGAATATAGACTATGTCCTGAACCTCTTCTTAGCTGAATTTACTGCTAAATTAGAGTTCTGTTATGATCTATCCCAGAATTATGCAAATTGGATAATTTTAAGTATTAAAATACAAGTCAAACCTTTCTTGCACCTGTAGAGAGAAAAGGTGAAGCTGCTTTTAGGAGGATGTAGAAGCATATGAAGTAATGAATATAAAATCCCCTAACTTGATTCAAGTTATACTGTTCAGATTTCTAACTACATCCAACCCTCACTCAAACAGTCCCAGACACTTCAGTCCCTCTAGTAGTATGAATCCCCCCAAAGGACCTCACTTAGGGAAGCATCTAAACCTACCATTCCTTGGAGACGATGCATTCCAACATAAGGTCTGTGTCGGGAGGACTGGGGACCCTTGCACAACTTTCGATATTCAAAGTGCTCAGTGGAGGGGAATCTGGGAAGATGGGAGCTTGAACCTTGGATCTGAAGACTGTACTGGAAGGGTGGTTACTTGGGAGAGGACTGATCCTCATTCCCTGCTTGCACCTGAAGAGGCCTAAGAAGAGAGACCCGCCATCCCCACTCTTCCAAGCCACTCCCGGGGAGAGGATGTGGTCTGTTATCAGCACTCTGATTGTGTCTTCCCCTTCCTGTTGGTTTTCTAGCGCCCGAGAGCTCTCACAGCTTGACTCAGATGGTAGTTAGGGAGCTCTCATCCATTAGTAAGTGGGGAAAAAAAATCACAATCTGCCGACGGCAGGGAAGGAGCATAACCAAGCTGAACAAGGAGAAAACTTGGCTCTCACTGAAAAAAGGAGGATTATAATGAAAGCTTAATCAAAGGTCTGACACTGATATATGAGAGCACCCCAAAACCTTTCTGGTCCTAATAATTACAGTTTCTGAGTGAAAATTTTAATAGAAGAATTGAAAATGGAAAAATAAAATTATAGAAATCAAGTAAGAAGTATATGGGAAATTATCCACATAAACTTGGTGGGGGGGAAGAGCTTCTTAAGCAAGACTGGAAACCTACATGCAACAACAACAAAAAATTTGCCAGATTCAACTAATAAAAGTTCAAAATCTCTGCATGGAAAAAGAGATCATAAACAAGGAACAAAGACAAATTATAGACGGGGAGAAAACATCTGCAGCACACATAACAAATGGAGGGTTCCTATTTCGAAGACAAGGTACTTCTACAAACATATGAGAAATGATAAACAACTCAATAGGAAAAAAATGAGCAACAGATGAAAAAGGCGTGTCCAGAAGAGGAAAAGGAAATGCAAATACATAAATAAATACACTATCAGAGAAACACAAATTGAAATAATGAGATACCTGTTTCTTGCCCTTCAAATTGACAAAAATTTAAAAAAGATGGTATTGTCTTGGCTGGCAAGGGCTTAAGAAAATAGTACGTTTTATATACATGTCTGATGGAGTAATACATTTTTATACTCTTTTTGCAAAGTAATACGGTATAATTCAGTAAAATTAAAAAAGTATACATTGCTCTCATCAATAATTTCACTTTTGGAAAGTTATCTGACAGAATTTAAGGTACGATAATATGAACACAAACACTGCAGCATTGTTTGGAATTGGATAAAAACCTGAAAACAATCTAAATGTTCATCAACAAGGCTCTGGTATGAATAAATAATAAATTCTGGTATGCACACTCACATATGTGTATATCTATCCCACCGCATGCTATCACACATACAACTATTAAAAAGATCAATGTACACGGATATATATTGACTCCTAAGAATATCTGCAATAGAAACTTATGTAAACAGTAACAAAAAAAGAAAATTATATAATACTTGTTATATGATTCTAGTTTTCAAAAATAGATGCATATACAATTTGTGTTTATTTAATATTCTCAAGGGAAAATTATGAAAGATATATACCGAATTACATCAGAAAGTAAATTTAGAAATGGACAATTTTACTTTAGGCACCATCACCGTTTTTGATATGTTACAATTAGTATGCATTTTCTTTTTCACTCAAATAAGTGAAATGAAAAACTTAAAATCTCCCAAATAGCAAGTGCAACTAAATAGACAGGGGATATAGGACATAAAAAGAAATGCCAAATCATGCATCTACTAGTAGGCAATTGTGACAGATTATTACATCATATTTATTTGTTTTTAGCTGTATTATTTTAATTCCTTGTAGGATCTCAAACCCTGACTAAAATTAGTTATTTCGGTTCACCAAAGGTTCTGATTACGAGTTACATGTTAGCGATTAACAAAAAGAGGGCATCATGATAGCCATGAAGGGAAAACTTAAAAAAAAAGACGGGATATCATAGATGCAGAAAGATTGGAAACCATGGCTTACGACGTTACACTATGTTCTCACCTCCGCTGAGACCACAGTGGTGCTGGGCAGGAAATCTACTGGAATCAGTCAAATGACAATCAACTCACCATTGTAACAAGCCCAGTGCAGTGGTGTGTAGCCTTGGTTATCTTTGAAAGAACAATCCTCCTCGGAAAGTGCCATCTGGAGCAGCTCGCTCAGCCATGTGGCGTGGCCGCGAGCAGCCGCATAGTGCAGGGGGGTCCTCCCTCTGGAATCTTTACAGAGAATCGACACTTCTTGCTCCAGCAGCATTTGCACACATTCCTCATGGCCTGTCATAATCTGATGCATTGCAATTAAAAAGACAAAACCCATCTCAGAAGGGCAGAGATGCAGGAAGCAAGGCGGTGGCGTCAGAGGACAGAAGGGGACAACCCCAGCAAGATTCTGGTGAACACACCACCATTTTAGAAACATCTCTAGACTCTCCAAACATAAACTTGAAGGGTCTCATGATAGAGCAGAAAACCCGGGCTTTTAGAATCAGGAAGATACAAGCGAAATCCTGGCTTCCCGCTTGTAAAACGTGGACGAATCTATCTGCCTCTCCGCGCCTCACTTTATCCACCTGGAAATGGGAATAGTAATAATGACTCATAGGTTGTCATGAGGCCTAATGAGACATGTAAAGGCGCCCAGCCTGTGGCTCCGCCCACAAGAAGTACTCAAAAAATAAGAACTATGATTATGATATTGACCGCTTAGTGTTCTTCTTCTCTTTTCTTTTTCTTTTCATTTATCATAGTGTTCAGCACCATCACCAAATAGCAATTTTATGATTTCTGTTTTTGTTTCATTTAGTTTGACATGCTTTAAAAAAATTTCAGCAGATGTATATGAAGAATCATCCACAGGATACATATTTCAGGTGGCGAATGGCCCAACATTTGTAATAAAGAACAATTAGAAATAGCATGGCTACCAAAAACTAGGTAATCATTGGAATAAATTATACCTCCTGCACACAATGGGGGATTAAAAAAATGGGGCGGAAAAATATTTATTGACATGGAAAAAGGTCTTCAAACTACTTGGAGAAAAAAAGCAGGTTCCAAATAGCATCTTCAGTATTCTCTCTTATTTTTAAAATTCAAAACAAATCCATATACAGCAAAAAAAAAAAAAGACTGGTGATACACAACCAAAAAGTAGTTGTCTCCAGGGGGTAAGATTATCGGTGATTGTGACTTTCTTCTTTGAGCCTTAAGAAATTTTTTTTGCAAATTTTCTATGATGTGCGTATAATCACAAAACAGCACCAATTCTACCAACAGCAGGTGTTCGTGTATCTATTATCACAATCTAACATGAAATCTGAAAAGCAGGACCTAAGAGTACCTGCCATTATTTCACCTTTGCAAAAGATTTTGTCATTTCTTTCCTTCTTTCTTTCTTGTCATCTCTGTACTTGACGTGGGGCTCCGACTCATGACCCCAAGATCAAGAGTTGCATGCTCTACCAACTGAGCCAGCCAGGCACCCCTGTAATTTCTTTTTGACTGACTGAGATTAATTACTTATCTTAGGAAAACATTCTTTTTACTAAAACTTCATATGGGGGGGGAAGGGGGAAACAAGCTCACTACAAAATTGCTTCACTAAAGCTGAGGAAGATGCACATACCCCTCTGTGTAAAGCTGTGCAGCCCATGAGGTCAACAGCATCTACATTGGCTTCCTTTTCAAGTAACAGTGAAACAGCATCAATGTGTCCGTACGCTACTGCAAGCATCAGCGGGGTTCTAGGCAGAGAAACAAATCAGGCTTTAAAAAAGATCAGGGAAAACAAACACCCATCACTTCCAGAGGGAGGACACCTCTCTCTTCTCTTTCTCTCTCTCTCTCAACAATTGCTTAATATTTTCTGAGCATCCCCAGTTTGCTCATATGATGCATGGAACAAGCCATCTCTGTCCCTGGTCTCTAAAGGCCACCTGGAATGGTGTCAGTGGAATGATCAATACAATAAAATACAAATTGTTCATGTTGATCGCATCATTTTCAAAACTGTGTAGCATTCACCAAATAATCACTGAGCAGGGAGCGTGTCCATGTAGGAGGCCCTCCTGCTCCTATCATTACTTTATAGTTTCTATGTTGAAATTCTGCTCAAGATTTTATTTGATCAAAGCTTCACTGCCGCAAAGAAAAGTCTGATAAGGCCAGAGGGGTAAAAAAAACAAAACAAAACAGAGTGCTAGGGTCCGGGAGGTGAGGTTCTCGCTGTAACTCTGACACTAATTCATGTATCTGGGGTGAGTCACTCCTGCTTTGTTTTTTGCGCCGCATTTCCTATTTGTAAGGGAAATTAGGTGGGGGAATGGGCTAACAGATGGAAAAAACTTTGGAAAAACAAACTCAGAAATGATAAAAATACGAAGGATTATTTTTTTATGATAGAGATAACCTCTTGAGGTCTGTCCTACTGTCCTAATTAATTTAAAAAATGGGAATGCAGCAGCTTCAGAAGAGGGTAAAAGTGGATACAAAGAAGAAATAAAATGAAAGAAAGGCCAGGAATCATGGCCACAGAAATAAAAAGTTGGCTCTCTGTCATCAAGTTACGCCCCTTCCCATACTTTTCTTGGATATATACTCTAGCACAAAGCCCCCTCCTTATTCTAGGGCTCTCAACTATGAATTTCACCCAAATATATACCCCAAACTAGAGTTCAGCCATCAACCCTCCTAGCTGTTTAACAAAATTAACCAATTACCTGTTGTAAATGAAATGCCAACCCCAGGCCCGGTTTAAGAACACTTACTGTCCTTTGGCATCTTTCACATCAATTGCTTCTGGGTTGTCTGCAATTTCTAGTAATAGCCGCAAACACAGTGTGTGACCATTAATTACTGAAAAAGAAAATAATGGACATTCTTTTAACAGACCAGCACTACACAAATCCCTCCAAAGTAAAATTTTTACTTTGGACTTCAAATCAGTCGTTTTCAATGCTGCTGACAGCTATCCCCAGATTTCCAGTTCGTACTAGCTGCTGGGCACAATTTTGTGTTGTTCACCAATTCTTCCTCCCTTTTCTTCCCATCAGGGCACTTTGGTCCTCACCTAACTTTTTCCTGGCTCCTGTTTGTTCCTGAAAAATGATGTCCTTTCTTACCTTCTCATTTCGGACTGATAACCTCTCGTGAATGTTCAGTTTACTCTTTGTGTTCTTCTAAGAGAGTCACCCAATTCTGTATAATCCCGTGTCCAGCCTGCCTCCAGCCCTTTTTAAAAAGAAGGATGGGAGAGGAGGCAAAACAGGGGAGCAGAACAGGATGGGAGGAGAGGAGGGAAGGGGCAGCAGAGGAGAGGAGGAAGGGAGATGAGAACAGGTCCTGCCTTTTTTTTCTCCCAGTCATTTTACATTTGGAGGTAGACATTAGAGCAATAGTTCTGATTGATTAGTGGTAACTTGAAGCAAAACCTCACACCGGAAAGGTGTCTGCAGGCCCTCGGCTTATTGCTCCTTGACTGACCAGCAGCTCCCAGGAGACTCAGAGATGCGCCCCGAGGCTGCAGGACAACTCTGCCCAGGAGGTCCTCAAACTGCAGCCCACGGTTTCTCTGCTTTCCGGGGTCTCCTGTGGCTGCCACCTCCTGTCCCCTCCGGTCCCTCCGTTCTGTCCCTGGCCAAGCTATGACTGGAGCGCCCACCTCGCCCCTTCCCAGGCGCTGCCACGTCCTCCCCATGCCCCTTCTCACTCTAGTGGGGTCTGCCCACGGGCAGGAAAGCCAGCCCTAATGTTGGCCTTGACTGCTGGGGCCAAATACAAGGTCACGGCCTAGTGTGCACCAGGCAAGATGCTACGCTGGGGAGTGGTGGTGCCTCCAGGGCTGGGAAGCAAGCCTACTGGGATGATAATCTGCTGGGCTAAGGTATTTTCCTCCCAGCTTGTTGAATGGAACCCACAGCCTTACAAAAAACATGGCCTTCCACTGAGGGAGTAGGATGAGAACAAATATGTTTAAAATTCCAAACGTGACCTTCTCTCCTTTCCGAACAATGAGAACACCATAAAACACATTGCTTTTACCTCGTTATGGCTGTGGAGAGAGAAGGGAATAGACGCAGCTATGTTAGGTTGATAAAGGCTCTTCTAAGAGCTGCGTTTTACAGTTCTTTTTATTGCACGCCGGTCGTGAGAGAATGCTAATTTAATAACGACACACTTTCCAGGGACAATGCATATTAGAATTAGCTCACATTCATCGACACAGCTCAAATTAACTACAGGAATAATGCCCACATTGTGTAGACCATTGCATTCAGCTCATTCAGCAATGTTCCATTTATGTATCTCAGGAGGAAATTTTGTGGCCTGGAGTACAGGCAATATACTGCCATTGCTGTTGTTTTGGTTTTTTTTGTTTTAAAAATTACATTAAATCTATTACCACTGGTAAAATATGCAAGAATTTAATGTATGCTTGAAAGGAAATGATTAGCAGAGGACTGATAGTTAAATACTACAGACAATGAGGTCATGAAAGTGCAGGTATAGTGTATTTTCATTGATTCCTCTTCCTATATCAATTCGATATTCCGTAAATACTCATAATCATAATAGTTCCAAAGGAAAGAAAAAATAATAGTTCCAAAGATGCTTGATTTTTGGCTATGCAGAGAAAGAGAATAAAATCATCTAATATGCTGGAGAACAAACCCATTTCTAAGGTGGTGTTTTGTTTTTGTTTTATTTTGTTCTGTTGGCAGGGTGTGGGGTGGTGTCCAGTAGATTTTGAATTTAGCTACCAGCCCTTGGGTAATTATAATTCCCCTCTATCCTAGAAGTGTAGCAAAACTAGAATTCTCATTTGCTTCCCACACACGACATTTTCCCCAGTTGCTAACATCTCCTTTGGCCGTGCCCTGCCAACTCCAGCTTTGTCTCCGACCCTCTCAGTCTCTCCCTGGCTGTGAGTGACAGCCATTTATCATGCTGCTCAAAGGTCACAACTGTCACTGCAACTATCTGTGCCAAAACCTCTAATATCCGTCCTGGCTCCTGCCCCTCACCGAACTCCCAGGACTTGAAACAAACAAACAAACAAAAAAACTGCCCTCTCAAACTGGAAGAGATTCCGGAAGCGCAAGCTAAAGCTTCTGCACAGCAGACATTTTGTGGATAATAGAGTCAAATAGCAGCCTGCATCTCTTTAATGAATGACAGGAGGAAAATCCAAGAGGAGTGAGTCGTCTTGGCCACCAGGGGGCTCCATTGGACCACAACCTATATCCCAGTGGCAAATGCGTGACTATGATTATCCTGCATTGTTTACCTGTTTACAAGGACAATTTTCCACAATCGAAATAGGCCTCTTGTAACTGTCAGGAAATACTGTACATCGTACCTAAAGCAGAATGCTTGCCATAATAATATACAACTAATCTTTAAGAAGGAGAACTAAATTTGAACTTTATAATAATACCAAGAGTGCCTAGAATACCAAACTTCACAATGATGATATCAAGAATACCAAAAACACAAAGTGTGATGGGAAATGAGAATTTATAATTTAACCATACCAACCATTACTGACCTCACGGCTAAAGTTTTTTCCAGGAACAATCATTTCCAGATAATTAGGCAACACCATGTTTTTTCAATCTCTATATTGCTTTTCTTCAGTGGTTTGGAAATTCAAGGATATATACATGGAAATAGTTTCACAAGACCTAACATTTTTTTCCAAGTAACAAGAATCATAAAGTCTTTTTGAAAAGCTGTCTTTACTCCCTGCTTCCCAATCCACCCATTATTTCATGGTCTGAATAAGATAGTTGTTTTTCTTTATGAGCCGATGTCTACTATCCTGATCAAAGGCTGGTATCATTGAATTCCTGACCCAAAGGAATTTATGCCTCAGCTGAGCTAGAGATTCTTCCACATTACTTTTGTATCTGTGTATACATCCAGAAATGTCTTGACAGAATTTTATTTTATGTATATTGGAGAAAAGTCCCAAAAAGGCAAATTACTTACTTTTTGATACATACATACACTCTTTAAAGAGTCTTTATTTTAACACATGATGCATCAAGAATCAGCATCAGAGCAAAAGCTAAGAAGCGTCATTTCGACTGGCAGAACGATGTACCAATTAGATTGCTGTCTGGTGACACTTTTTATGAAATAGCTGTGAAAAAAATCATTAATTTTATGCTTTAAAATGCTGTGTGATTCTGTCTGTGTAACTCATTTGAAGATCACATTACACTTTGCCTCCTCTTTAGGAAGTTTTGTGGTAGCCATTGGTCAAAGTTCTGAACTCTCTCCTGAGTTAAGAAGGCAAGATGGAGTGCAGAGGATTTTTAGGGCAGTGTTTATAACATCTTACTTTGTATGATACTATCATGCTGGATCCATGTCATCATACATTTGCCCAAGTTCATAGAAGGTATAGCACCAAGAATGGACCCTAATGTAAACTATGGACTTTCAATGATTATGATGGGTCAATGGAGGTTTATCAGTTGTAACAAATGAAACACTCTGGTGAGGGTTACTGACAATGGGGAAGGCTATGCATGTGTGTGGAGGCGGGGTGGAGGGAGACAGGAAGTATATAGAAAATCACTACATCTTCCTCTCAATTTTGCTGTGAACCTAAAACTGCTCTAAAAGAAGAAGGCCAGAGCCTTTCTGGCTATAGAACACTAATCCTCTTCAAGTGGATAGTAGGCCAAAAGCATTTTGCAAGAGTGTAGGCATAGTTGATGTAGAAAGAAAATTGATACTTGAAAAGTTGGGCGAAAGAAAATGCTGTCATCCTTTTTCCTAGACTTGTAACCAGACTCTTGACAAGACCCACCGGAGGCATGAAGTGGGGTTCTTTTGGTGACATTGTCTTTCACAAAGATGGATGCGCCCTGATTGATAAGTGCTTCCACACATTCTGTGTGTCCCTTAAAGGCAGCCAGGTCCAGAGCAGTGCGGCCTTTCTCATCCCTGATGTCCAGGTCCACCAGCGACTGCAGAAGGACTTCCAAGGCCTGATGGTGCCCATTGTAGGCCTGCAAAGAAGAAACCAACCACTCAAATGCTCGCTCACCTCAAACCCCACAACAACCCACATGAGGGGCTGAGCCTCCCAGGTCACAGTTGGGGACCACTCCAAAGAGCACATCAGAAAAATGCTGGGGATAATTACTGAAACAGACAAACCGGAGAGTCAGACTGAAAAATTAGAATACACAAGCCTCACAGCTACGTATGAATTTCATGTTCTTTCTTGTTTGTCAAATAATTTGCTCCAAAGGTACTAAATATATTCTTATATCTATCAATCTAATAATCTAATACAGATTAGTAGCTGAATGAATTAATATAATCTTCTATCAGTTCACTCCTAAACATACTGACACAATCAGAATATTTTGGGGGAGACTTTTCTGTTAAACCTAGAGGAAAAAAATCACTAAAAACAATGTGGACTTGGTAATTCATCAGAAGCATACAGATCTGTTACAGTCCAACATTTTAATTTCTAAGCATGGGACCCCGGGCAAGTTTCTTAATTTCACTTAGAGTTTGTTTTCTCATCTATAAAATGAGAGCAATAAAAGCTGCCTCCCAGGGAAGATAAAAAGAGATAAATTCACACAGGCTTTCCGTAATATCATGTACACAGTGGATGCCTCCTCCTTTCTTCTTTACTTCTCCCATTGATTATCATTAAACATAGACACAATTATGGAAATATATTCTGTGTACCCCACCGAGTTCAGGTCTATTATGAGGTCTCATGCTATGTTAGGTTAAGAGGCTTCCCACTACTAAGACAGAAAATCAAAAGACTGAGAGATAATTTTCATTAAGTCTACAAGGTAAAAAAATGTATATGCACACACAAGGCAAAGGACATTGGAAATAAAAGAGAGAACAGGGTCAAGGATGGGGGGGTGGAAATGAGGAAGGAGAAGGAAGTAAAGAAGGAGACACAGAGAGGACCTGCCCCCGGTGTCCTCAGCAGCCAGGGTCCCCCTCTTATGTCAGCTGCACTTTCTGCTTTCCCACCGCAGTGATTACTCGAGGCACAACGTATTTGAAGAGAAGCTTAGTACAGACAAAAGATCAATATCTCTCATACACAAAAAGCTCTTACAAACCATTTTAAAACTTAGGAAAATGTACCAAGGGCATGAAAAGACAGCTTACAGAAAAATAAATGTGAAAGGCCAATGAACATATGGAGGAAATATGTAAATTTTTAAGGTACTATTTTTCAACTACCAGATTGACAATGAATAAGTTTGGTCATACTAGTTAAGACATGGTGAAAAAAAGCAGGGGCGCCTGGGTGGCTCAGTCGGTTAAGCGTCTGCCTTGGGCTCAGGTCATGATCTCAGAGTCCTGGGATTGAGCCCCCTTGGTCTCCCTGCTCAGCGGAGAGTCTGCTTCTCCCTCTGCCTCCCCCAACTCCTTGCTCATGCTCTCTCTCTCAAATAAATAAATAAAATCTTAAAAAAAAAAAAAGACATGGTGAAAAAAGCAATCTATGCTCTGTTGTGCTGGGAGTATGGTGTGACATTTGTGAAGAGTGATTTGACAAAATCTATCAAAAACTTTTTGAAAAACTAAGCTGCAGACAGTATGTATAGCATGACCTCATTTATATAAAAAGCAAATATATCTAGATATATACCTATCTATATCTATGTATATTTCTTATATTCATAGAAAATTTTAGAATACAAAAGAAACTGTTAATGGTGGCTACCTCGAGAAATGGAAGATAAAGTAATGAGTATATGGACTTATTACTTTTTAAAAATCCTTTGAATTTTTTCCCAAGTATATGTTAAAAACAATAATACCAAAAACTAAATATAAAAGGATCCATAGAATTTAAGAGTATTGATAGGAATTGTTTTCATTAACTTTCTCTTTACATTTTGTGAATGATTATGATTATATATTATAGAGTAAACATATATATTACCTATAATATGCAGTATAATAATTCACATGCTGATGAATCTCAAATTTATATCCCATTTCTAACTTCTCCTTTTACTTCCAGACTTGTATATTCAACTGCCTATTGATATTTCCACTTGAATATATGCATCTCAAGCTTTAACATGTCCCACACCAAATTCTTAATTTCCTTCCTCAAACTTGCTCCAGCTGCAGCCTCTTCCATCTCAGTAGGTGGTAAGGCTATACCTCTAGTTGCTCAGGCCCAAAACTTTGGAGTCGTCTTTATCTTCCCTCTTAAGCCCAGGGTTGTAGTCCTATACAAGGGCTCTGGGACACTAGGGCTAGGGCAAGTGGATGTTGAAAATAGCCTCTGGCTCCCCATCCTAGCCGTGCCATGCCCTGTACAGGGATGTGTCTGTTGAGAGCAAGGGACCCCTTTTGCTAACCACACAGAGGTGTCATCAGGTTCTCTGGCCCCTGGCAGGAAAACATCTACCCCCACATCCCTGGTCTAATTCACACACTGGTGCAGTGTGGCCAGCAGCAGCCCTCAACACGCCATCATCTCTACTCTTTCTTTAAAATATGTCCAGAATTGACCCAGTTCTTGCTATAGCACCATCCTCTTTCGCCAGGATTATGGCAAGGGCCTTCCTTTCCATCTTCGCCCCACTGCAATCTATTACTCACACGGCCTCCAGATGAACTCTCTTAAAACCCAAGTTGGACATACCAGTCCTTGATGAAAACTAGTCAATGGCTTCTTCCTTCCTTGATAATAAAATCCCAAACCATTCAGGCCCTTAGGATTAGGCCTCCTTCTACCCTGATCATCAGCATGCCTCCTCACTCACTCTGTTCAACCACACTAACCCCACCCCATGGTTAAATAGATACATTTCCTCCTCCGGGCTATTGCATCTTTTCTTTTCTTTTCCTTTCTTTCTTTGCTATTGCATCTTTTCTCTCTCTCTCTCTTTCTTTTTCAAAGTTTGTTTGTTTTTTTAGTAAGCTCTACACCCAGTGTGGAGCTCGAACTCACGACCCCAAGATCAAGAGTCGCATGCTCCTCTGACTGAGCCAGCCAGGTGCCGCTGCATCTGTACTTCCCATTTCCTGTCTGAAAAGCTCTTTCCCCTGAGGGCCACGTGGCTCTCCTGGCACTTCTGCTTCAAATATCACCTTATCTGGAGGCTTTTCAGAGGCAAAAAACAGCCCTGGGGTGCCTGGGTGGCTCGGATGGTTAAGTGTCTGCCTTCGGTTCAGGTCATGATCCTGGGGTCCTGGGATCGAGTCCCGCATCGGGCTCCCTGCTCCTTGGGAGCCTGCTTCTCCCTCTGTCTCTCATGAATAAGTAAATAAAATCTTTAAAACAAACAAACAAAACAAAAAAACAGCCCTCCACCCTCCACCTCAGCATACTACCAGACGCTCTCCAACCCACTTACCCTGCTTTATGTTATCTTTATACCACTTATTACCACTTAATATCTGTTATTTATCTGTTGGTTTATTATCTGTGGTTGAAGGCACTTCATGTGTATTGCTCACTGCTGTACCCTAAATCATGCCCAGGGCATAGTAGACACTCAACGATTATTTGGTGAATAAATGACTTAATGTAATGGCTGTTATTATCATTTATTAGTATTAGTAGGAGAAATATATACATATATATGTACATATATATATATTTAGAAATATATTTTTAAGTAGCAGCTATTTATCTATGCAAACATTCTTTTTACTGATGACAAAACAAAACAAGCACCATTAATTTGTCCAAGATCACTTGATTATACGAAATTTCAAACTTGTACAAAGAGAAGAGGAGAGTGTAATGAATTCCTATATACCCAGCACCCAGTTTCAGCCATTATCAACTGACCATAGGGGATTTTAGGCCAACTTGGGAGGATGTATCCTCTGCTAAAAAGCTGTGGTACTAGCAGTGTCTACATCAGGGTGTAAATCAGCCTATCTCACTTTACTCTGGGCTTATCTGTGACTTATTTGAAAACTGACTTTGTATAATACTTCTTCTCATTTTAAAGTGTAATGGTAGCAAAAAAATGGGCAAAAGACATGACCAGACACTTCTCCAAAGAAGACATACAAATGGCTAACAGACACATGAAAAAATGTTCAACATCATTAGCCATCAGGGAAATTCAAATAAAAACCACATTGAGATACCACCTTACACCAGTTAGAATGGCAAAAATTGACAAGGAGAGGTTGGAAAGGTTGTGCAGAAAGGGGAACCTCTTACACTGTTGGTGGGAATGTAAGTTGGTACAGCCACTCTGGAAAACAGTGTGGAGGTTCCTCAAAAAGTTAAAAATAGAGCTACCCTATGACCCAGCAATTGCACTACTGGGTATTTACCCCAAAGATACAGATGTAGTGAAAAGAAGGGCCACATGCACCCCAATGTTCACAGCAGCAATGTCCACAATAGCCAAACTGTGGAAGGAGCCGAGATGCCCTTCAGCAGACGAATGGATAAAGAAGATGTGGTCCATATATACAATGGAGTATTACTCAGCCATCGGAAAGGATGAATGCCCAACTTTTACATCAACATGGATGGAACTGGAGGGGATTATGCTAAGTGAAATAAGTCAAGCAGAGTAAGGCAATTATCATATGGTTTCACTTATTTGTGGAACATAAGGAATAGCATGGAGGACATTAGGAGAAGGAAGGGAAAAA